TGCCCCACTGTCCCCTTAGTACCTGTTTTATTTAAGTTCTATACAAGATGAGGGATGGCTTGATAATAACAATGAACAGATGAAATTATTTTAGGCAATGTGACCATAAAATATACTCTCAATTCTTGTAAACAAGCATTTTATATTTTTATTTGCCTATAAAAAGGAAGACAAGATAGTGCAGGAGACAGAAACAGCACTCTTCAAAGAATAATATCAGAGATAGTATACAAGCTCCAGTCTAGAAAACCGAAATTAATGGCCATGGGGACTCATTGCACTGACCACGCAACACCCTCTATCTGCTAAAGTTAGCACTAACTTCACCAAAAAGCGGTGGTTGCTCGGTTGGTATAGTTCACTTGCAGACTAAAGCCATGGAAGAAAGCAGTCTTCTGGGATGTGGTGTTATCTGACGTTTCGGAGGAACATATCGTCTCCATCTTCAGTGTAGAAGGAAAAATAAGAAAATCTGCAAGCGAAGAAACAGTGAGAAGAGGTGTAAGCAGACTAATGTTGGAAATAAACTCAGCTATATGAGAGCATGAAAGGAAGGGACAGGTCTACAGGGGAAATCAGTGGAGAGGGAGAGGGGAAGGGTCTGGGGAGCTTGAGCAAGGTTAGAGCAGGTATAGGATATTGTGTCGGGGGATAAAGGCAAGGTTAATGGGAGGGCATTAACTCTTAATCTGGGGTGTTGCTATGCGAGTCGGTCATGGACTGCGTGGCCTTATAAAGATACAGAGTTTGTTTGATAGTATACAAGCAAGTATAAAATGAAACATATCTCTCTGTACCCCTATCTTGTAACTGTTTTAAACACCACTTTCCTTATGCTATTATAATACTTGTGTGTCAAGAAACCTCTTGTTGTGTTGCTGAAATGTATTATTGCCTTACTTCCAATACATTGTGTACTATAGTTGCACACTGGTGTGTACAGAATACACATCTTTCAGGGCTAGCTTGATCACTGTGAAACAAGTTAATAACAAGGATAAAGATCTGAGATATAGTCAGAAGGAGCACAACTTGAGGTGTGTTCACAGTGAAGATTTATTCAGTATCTCTTCCCAGTTACGTACTCTGCCTCCAGAAGTGTGGGGAAAAATAACATTTCTGCAACTCGGTTTACTTTGCTTGGGTTATCTTTGTTTTCTACTGTCACTTTCTTGAACTATCCACATTGTTTTAACCAAACATCACATTCAAGTGGACGTCACTCCTGCTTTGTATTTTGGAGGTAATGGGTTGAGATCTCAGCCTGGTGACTACCTGTACTGACTGAGATTCTGTGGTTTTCCTCAAGCTTTCCAGGCAAATGCTTTGAGAGTATTTCAAATTAAGCTACAGTTACTTTCTTCGAAATCTTTCCAATTAATTATTCATTAATCTGACCATCTGATGTTATATAATCTGAGCTGTTTACAGTGCCATCAAGGAAACAATAAATAAATCTACATCAACTTAACAACAGACTGATCGAACAGGTTGGTCTAGTGGTAACACTGTAGATTTGTATTTGGGAGGTGCTTGGTTCAAATCTTGACCAGACACAAGTTGTCTTGACTGGTTTTACATCATTCATCCCCCAAGGCAAATGCCAGGACACACCTCAGTCATGTCATGAGCACTTCTTCCAAATCCTTTTAAATTCATCATTCATCTGTCATCCTACAATTTTATGTGATAATGAAAGTGTCATAAAATAAACCATCAAAAAACGAAAGAACCTGTAATTAACACTGAAATTATGAACCACACTTTTAATTTACTTAATTGCAAGTTCCAAATTATGAACTTTTTTTTTTTTTTCCCAGAGGAGAGTTTGACATTGACCCTTTAAATATCAATTTGGATTAAATACCCTCTGTTATGAAGGCCAGCACTGTTTGAATCAGTTCTTACTATTTATGTACAACCACACATATGTAAATATTTTCAGAAATCTTGTTCAATAAACAGACAACCTGACAGCTCAGTTCCTGTGTTCTTCCTGGTCCAGACGTCATGCACCAGTATAGAAACCCTTCTGGTAGGAACTCTATTCAGGAAATATATCATCCAATTAAATACTGTATTTCTAGGAAATGAAATAACATTCTATATTACAGAAAATAATAATCTTTCTTTACATTACATGATGGGGATATCAAACAATATGAAAGCTGATATCAATACCAAATTATTGAGATCAATATTTTTGTTTTGTTCATACTGAGTTGTTGAGGTTAGTGTTTTTTCCCTAGCATTTCAAATTATATCCTTGATTTGTCTCAATATTTAGCATTTGTGAATACATGACTACTAGCCTGCAGCCTGTTATCACACAAATGCTGATACAGGCCAAATGTTATTTACACTTATATACTAACAATATACCTTTCGATTATAATTAATATAGATACCAAAATATTTAGTCAATATTGTATTGTATTACCAGTACTGACTGACATCCCAGATGTGTTTTGTTTGAATCATGAATCCAAATACTGTAATGCAGTGAAAACAATATCTGCTGTTTCTAACTGCTACTCTGATGTTATCAACAGTACTAGAAGGCTAGTGCTCTATAGCTGGAATGAGAGGTTCAGAATACAAGTCTAGACATACCAACATACAAAGCATTATGGAAAATAATGCGACAGATCTTATATTCCACATAAAAAATAAGTACAGCGAAACCCCATTTAATTTTTTTTGTGGGGGGTGGGGGTGGAGCAGATTTAAACACTGAAGTGATAAAACTCTTAAATAGAGATAATTTAACACTGAGATTATTGAATTGGCCCTATTGAAACTGAATGTTAAATGAAAGGAACCCTTAAATTGAAGGATATTAAATGGGGGTTCTGCTGTTAAAGGAGAGCTGGCTGCTGATGCTCCGACTGTGTAGTGTAGTGCTTTTTAATATACTTCAGGGAGCCATACTATGAATGAACGAACTCAACTGCCGATAAACTGTGAAAGTTCAAATAAATGCACCATTTTCTGTACTGGAATGGTTGTGTTTCTTTTCCCAGATTGATTTCTGAGGAGCAGTTAGACTTTATAGGAAGGGCAGGGATTGATTCACAGCTCTAATTCTGGTATTTCTGAGCAAGCTGGTACATAATCACACTTCAGAAGTCGAAGAATTTTAAATACATTTTAGAGAATTAAATGGTTGACTTGGAAAAATCCAAGACGACAGATTGCTTCATATTGTATAAGCTACATACTGTTATACATATGTATGAATTATGATGTAACTGCCAGTTCTGAATGATGGATAGCTCATCTGAAGCAAAATAACTCCATATTACAGAATGTCTGCAGTCTATCACTTGTAATACATCTTTTATAAGACTGGATCTTACTGGGTGCTCATTCTTTAAAGAAAGAAAAAGAAACACATTTAAGAAGTTATCACTTGCCAAAGACATTGAAATTCAAAGGTCATGATACATTAAAAAAGTCAGTGTATTTTACTTTCCTTCATTTGTTGCAATTCAATGCTATGATTTTGCTCTTAACCCACATGTAAATGTTTGTGTGTCATCAATAAACACTGTCAAGTCTGTTGGAAACCTGGATGACCTTGAAAAATCTGTTACAGAATTGTACACATTATAACAAAATAAATATCAACATAAGCTTTAATACAAAACTCAGCCTATTCTGCTTCTATACATATGCAGTCTGAATGCCACAGCAGCCAGGGCATGAGCAATTCAATGAATAAGACAGGCACTTCAATAAAGAAACTGTAACAACTGACAATGACTCCACAAACAATATATAAATAACATCAAGGAAATATGAAGTAATTAGGACATGGTGTAAATTCATTACCTGTTATCAAAGTATCATATCATGTGCATATCCAGTATGTTAGTAAAAGCTGTGTGGAAGGATATGGTCTCACCCAGTTATCAATGCCAGTGGCATTGTTATAATTAAAAGAATATTTATATTTCAGATGATGGAATTGTGTAATTTAACAATGAAAAGTCACCCTTTTGTTATGTCTACATGTTCAAACTGAGTTCTGTTCATAATTGAGAACAGAAACAGATTACAGTAAAATGAGAGGCAATTTTAAAATGCTATACATTAAGAAAATGAAGTTTAAGTAACAAATAAATATTAAAGGCCACAAAATACTAATGTATGCCGGGTCAGTAGTTACGGCACGTGCTTTGCATCCTACTTCACACTTATATGGTATGTTTTTTAGTGCTCTCATGGCTTCAGTGCCACATGGAAACTGGCAGGTCACACAACACATGACGTGCACTGTGTCTACTCTGTAGCAATAGGCATGTTTCCCAGCAACCTCAGTGCTACCTGGCAACCTGCGGTCACAATAAATGAAATGTGAAATATGCCAGGAAACGAAGAAAACAAAAGCAGACAATCGTAATACACATATAATATGATAGGAAAAGGAAAAAGAGCTCATCTCCATGTGCTTTATTTTCAGTTCGCTATGGCTCATCTGATTTTCAGCAAACTTTTGCCTTTCAGTTAGCTATGACTTTACTTGTAAAGAACAGATTCCTTAAACTCTTAAAACATATGCCTTCATGCTAGTAAGTCAAAGATATTCTTTTAGAAGGTATAAGGCTAAATTTATCAAACCTCCAGATGAACTGACATGCAGAAATACTATAATCTGTTACTGTTATATGAAACAAGGCAGAATATATGATGCATCAAGCTATCTGCATAACATGAGCAAAGAATAATTAGAAGCTGTAAGTTATAAAAAAGTAAAGCTATCCCTGTAACAGGCCGTGATGGCCCATAGGGTTGTGAGACATTGAGGGTCCCATATTATCTAGACAATTGGCTCAAAGATGGTGGTAAGATTGTCAGCCTTACATGCCAGCTGCGCTTTACTCCCCAGGAAAATTATTTAATTAATTCCTGGTACTCATTTCTGTTAGAGGCTGAGTCGACCCCAGGGCCATAGTGCTGCTGGAAGGATTAAGTCAATTGAAAAAAATTCAGTGACCTCATCGGGACTTGAACCCGCGACCTTCTGGCTTGTAGCATTGTGCCTCAACCAACTACGCTACTGCATGCCCCCTAAAAAATGGAAGTACTGAGTGTAATATTTTGATAATGGATTTTGTTTAATGGATCTGGCAATCATAACTGGTCGATTAACAGAGAATCCTGACTTTGAACTAATGTACATTTCAGAATCCTATATGCATTGATATTAGACCTTTGATATGTGATTTGTGGAGTCATTCTGCTTTATAAGACTGACTACTTCTGTCATATTAACAAATGCTGGGAACTATGATAGACAATATTTATACAGAACACACAAAACATGAATATACAATGGAATCTATAGTACAGTGTTGCTGAGGGAGAATAGAACAGAAAGGGCGCAACCTAACCTAATTTATAAATCTAGAGAGGACAATGAACAGGCATGAACATACCACACATAAATTCATATATTATGGTACATGCAACTTTTCTGCAAAGGAACAGTCATTTCATGTGAATATTCACATATACATTTATAAGCGTCATGTTTCATGTACAAATGTTTTGTCACATTTGTTTTCACTACTACTTGCACACACCATGACCATCTTCCATGAGGTTTCCGAGCACTTATGATTATACATCAGGATAAACTGAATGTAGTTTATTATAAAGATTATGGTCTTGCTGGATGCAATACCGTATAGTTTCGTAGACATATATCTATCATATATCTCAAAGCACCATACTCTAAATATTTACTGAGAACCTCAATCTCACATAGTTTATTCTACCTGATTTCAGGGATCATATTGCAAAAATCTTTCCATGAAAAAGTAAGTTCACATTAAAATATGTTATAATTTATTTAATTAAATCAAATTAGTAATATGAGAAACCATATGGCATGTGGTCATAGCTACACATGTAGAATCTCATGCACTCAAAGACAGACATGAAGTCAAAATACCCTCTCGAAAAGTAACCACTAGATAAAATCATTTCTTTCTTCATTTGAATGTCTTTAGCTCCAGACAACTGCATTCTGAAAACTAGTCTTTAAGTACATCCTTGCAATTAACAAACATACTGTGAAGTTTCTTACAATTGCTTTAGATGTATCAACGTTCATATAGTCGGTTTGATTGTTGTTGTTTGTATGAATATGATAATTCTTCATTAAATAGCTCATTTCATCCACGACATGGTAATGCACTCTGATGGCCACACAGACTAGATACAATACATGTATGTGTGATGATATCTTTCACATACTATCTCTCTTGTTTACAATCTCCCATCTTCCTGCAAAGACTAGAACATAATAACAACTAAGGGTAAATCATGTATGGGCTTTCACCCACGTTGGGCTCTTGCAACCGACAACTTTGCCTGTCATGTAGGAATGTCTTCCAGTAGCAGAATGGACTAGATTCATTATAAGTAAAGAGTGTCAGAGTTTATCAGATGGAAGACGGGTAGATGTATGACGTGGTGAACGTCCACCGACACTTCTTTCTGAAGACCCGATTCCACCCATAAGTGGATATGATGTGGCTCGTTTGGCAGACCTGCAAAAATAGGGCTACAGTGGCACTAATATAACCACTAGTCATGCTAAATCTTTATTTCTTGAGTATATTAATCTAAGATGTACAGGGTCAACTGCAGCACTAATTAATTATGCAACTGAGCATAAACATTATGAGATGGATAAAAGGAAAAGAAACACAGATGTGAATTCATTATGGCATTCTAACAAACATGGGTTCATAACTGAAATTACAAATCTGCAAACAAATCCCTACTCTTCATCATGATTCTATCATACTTTCTACTGATGACAGTGATTTACACATTAAAGTACATACATGTAGATTAAAATGAAGTGTGGTGAGTGGAGTATATCTTACTGACTGAGATTCTGAATGAAGATAATTCATATGATGTGAGTGGTTTGATGCATTGTCTTTTAATTCATGCAGATAATCAACCATTCTCATGGCATGATAAAGAAATGGCAGCACTGATTTGGTTTGGATAATCACTGGAGTTGTTAAAACGGAATTTATTATTATTATTATTATTATTGATATTATTATTATTATCATCATCATCATCATCATCATCATCATCATCATCACTTATTCATTTTCATGCTTACTCAACAGCCCAAAGGCGAATTATAGCGTAAGCACTATTAAAGAAAGAAAGAAAACAAACACACAAACAAAAGATAAAAGAAGGCAACTTGTATCAGTTAGACAATAACAGTAATTCGGTTAGTACAATCACACCAATCATTGTGCCATGAGAAAAAAATATATATACATACATAGATCTTAAATACTACTACTAATTCAATAATTAAACCTATGATTATGGGAAACAGTTTTAGATCCACACTCATCAGTGTCCCAATAAACAATACATACCAGTTCAAGCACATCTACCAGAAGGACAATTTTTCTTGAGCAGATAATGAACACAGAAAAGTCTTGGATATATTGAGAAAATACTCAAAGACCAACAGTTTCCAAAACCGAAGGACAGAATTTAGAACCAAGGTAAATTTAAATAAGGAAGGTGATACCTCCTGTTATTTAAGGAGTGCAATTTTAACTGCTCTGAAGCATAACCATAAATGTAATGGACAGAAATAATAAATGATTAATATAAAGGAATGTAAAATTCTACTAGATGTGTTCCAATTTGTTGGCATCAGCAGACAAAATAGAATTTCAAACAATTAAGGTGTATTAAAGCTTGACTCGAACTAGGGTAAAATATAATAAATACAGACATTTGAGGGATGAGATGGAGAAGGATATGCTGTGAATTAGACCAGACCATAGAACATAATATGCAGAAAATATATAGAAATAAAGTTTAGAGTCAAGAAATATTGCAGGTCTATACCGAAGCTGGTAAGGGTTATAGAGGAATCACAAAGTTTATACTTGTAGATCAACGTGTTACTTTTTCTTAAGGATATAACTTTGGTTTTACCAATGTTGAGTTTCATACAGTCAGCACTGCACTAACCTTGTACAGATTCAATGTCAGGCTGTGGTAGATCACAGTCTTTAAGATTTAATGGCACAGTAGTTTTTGGCATCATCAACAAAAATTAGATATCTGCAGTAGTTAATTACATCACATAAGTAATTTATAAACACACTGAAAAGCAGTGGTCCTAAAACAGATCTTTGAGGAATACTGAAGAGCATTTCAAAAGGAAATAAAAGAATTCCAGAAACATGGACATGAGATAGCTTGTTGGTTAGGTAAGTATAACCACCAGAAAATTCAAAACCACTACTAAACTCATGAAAAAGTGATGCATGAGGGTCAAGGTCAAACACACTGCTAAGCTCAAAATAAATGGCATAAATTTGATCCTGACAGCCGACTATAGGGGTTATCAAATCAAGATAAGTTACCAAGGTGGTGGTAGCAGATTTACATTTAGTGAAATGCTGGCAAGGATTTAATTCAGACCTTAGGTAACACAAAACTTTGTTATTAATAGCAAATAATTTAGAAAAATCATTAAGAACAGAGATGAATCTGCAATTTATAACTTAGGCAATGTTGCCTTTTTTAAAAACAGAAACAATGGCGATGTGCTTCTATATGGTAGGAAAATACTGCTGAGCTAAATCTTGATTAAAAATATGTTTCAGAACAGGTCCAGAGATATAAGAACCTTCATAAAAAAAGCCAGGGATGTCAACAAAACTGACAAATTTAAACAGTTTCAGACCTTTAAGAACTTTAAAAATACATGAATCAGAATTAAGAGCTGAAAATAAAAATTCAGAAGATAAAAGGGAAAGACCCATGGACAAGGTTTATTACATACAGACTGAAAAAGTTTAGAAAAGTTATCAGCAACTTTTTTAAGTTTTGACCAGACCAGTACCCAGTACCACCAATCTCAAGCTGAACAGAAGTTCCTACTGTTCTGATCACTAACAGTACCATAAAATTAGAGATTCCTATTACTCTAATTATGGATAACATGACTGTCTACTATAATTATGCACTGAACCCCCACAAATTCCATTATTGAAAACTGAAATTTTACTTGCTTCTGGAATATCTATGCACCATGCTCTTATTGTAATGTTATATCTACATATTACAATTTCCAATTTACATTTTAGATATCAGTAATTATACATTCACATTTTATGTCTAAACTGCAATGTTTATAGCAACAAAATTTATGTGTAACTGATTCAGTGGGCTGCAAGCCATCTGTTGGGAAACACTAGTTTATGCAACTTTCATATTAACTGGTATCCTGCAAAACAAATAACAGTTACAGTTTACAGCTGTAAGACAATGAGGCCATAAGGATGCACTGTGAAGGTCTGTAAAGCACAGAGCATAAATTATGAATGTAACAAAAGAACAAAGTAAAGCACAGAATTGTTACATTTGTTAATGCCCATTCAACTGCTGCAATACATGAAAGAACACTGCAACACAAGCACCGAGCAATAGAAGATATAAGTCCCAGTAACTTTATTTCATATCAAGGAATTAGAAACTGATACTAAGATATTCAGGTAAATAATAAACAAGGAACGCTTACAAAGATGAAATATAAATCAAGTATATAACAGCAAATGTGTCTGTCCTAAACCGTACCTCCTAAAAAAGCCTATAAGACATGAACATTTCTATTAGACATCTGAACAGAACCCTGCAACTTACAAGGAAAGAAAATGAGCTTCAAGCTATAATGTGTGTTACTATGAATTACCAGGGTACAAGAAGCAACAAACATTAAAGTGACATAACAGAGTGTTTGAATTTTGAACAAAGCACGGTACTGTTTTATACTACTGGGGGCGGGATCAATATTCTTAAAATCAGAAAGTAAGTTACTATACATGTTACACAAATATGACTGTTTGTTGTACTTCATGTTGATAATGGGAAATACAAGCCTTGGTGACTCAGAAAACAGAGAAATAATAAAATTCAAATTTAATCTTGTGTTATTTCACTCATTGGTCAGCACCTCACCTTCACCTTTCATATAAGCACAGTGTCAACTCTATGTAGCATTAATAAAAGACCATATTACATTAATATAAAATACAAATAGATAATTCTGCAAATGACCATTATAATATGTCAGAACATAATAAGTTCTTAAATTAATAAAATATGAACAAAGTAGATTCTGAGAAAAGAGAAAGCACTAATGCAGAGGAACAGTGACAGAATACAACAGTGGAAATCTAATCTACATTGTGGAATATCTTGAACAGGAATTGAACAGCAAGTACTCATTATGCAAATTACAGTTCATGTGAAATACAGAGTTATTTGGATGTATTCTTCTTCCTCTGCTATATAATCAAGGCATTTTTCTTCAACAATACCCATATAAACTTTTGACATAATTAGTTTATGTCTCAACAGAAAAGTGTATTTCCATTTGGGCAAACATAAATAAACATGTACACAGACCGAATTCTGACATTAAACAATAAGGACACAAACAAATATGTACTGTGGCTCATGTCTCACACACTTATTTATATAAAGTGAAGTCCCAAATATTTCTTAAGAAATCTGTCACATTATGAACAGTTTAACTTCTTGTCATCGGCTAAGAACAGGATTTCAGATTTGATTGCTTCCAAATGTAAAAATGAAGATTTTAGAAAATGTACTTTCAGGAAAAAATAAAATGCTACATCAGAGTTCCACTCTAGTGTGTAATGGGCATTAAATGAAAAACTAAACTTGGATAGTTACCATAGATACTGCACCTGTTTCTCTATCTCTGCTACACATGACTAATGTAAACTTTTCTCTTAATGTTGCCACGAGCAGGGGAAGTGGTTGCAGCCTCACTGCTGAAACAAATCAGGACCACTCCATTCACACCCCCCCACAAACACAACCAGTGCCACCTGGGGAAAGCACTGCTTCATATGCATCCTGAAGAACTCCAGTTTAGAGCAAATTTACATTTGTGCAGGCTTAAGTGTCTAACTCCTGAAAGGCTAAAACATAACTTTCTATCATTTACAATGAATTACATGCTTCTATTTCTTCTGTTTAGAAATTTGGTAAATGCTAAAAGCACATATATTTTTAACTGCAGAAAATTATTCTGTTTTACAAATACACTGGATCAGCCAGTGCAAACAGTAGGAACTACAGTGATAATACTTCAGGATCTGTTGAAGAAAATGATCCTACAATGTGGAGCTATTCTGTACATTATCCAGAAATTAGTAACATGTAAATCTTGGGGCCGCGCCATAGCTGAAGCGGTTAGCCACTGGCTTCCCATCGCGGCGGCTGGGGTTCGATCCCAGGTCTGATCAAGTGGGATTTGTGGTAGACAAAGTGGCACTGGGGGCAGGTTTTCTTTGAGTGCTTCAGTTTCCCCTGCCAATCTTCATTCCACCAATTGCTCCACAATCACCCTCACCTATCATCTGGGGCTGGTACAATAGGCCAGAAGTGGCCGGAGTACAAGGGACTTAGTCCAACCCAATAGCAATAACAAAAACATGTAAATCTTAAAAGGATAAAC